CAGTGAGTGAATGGGTGACTGAGTGGCCCATGGTGTGTTTGTAACAAGCTTGCATTTAAACCCCGATGCCATTTCACTGGTATGCAAAGGTTGGGTTTCTGGTTATTATGCACAATGGTGCATTAGCTCACCCGTCCTATATGGAGCGCACTTTACCACACACACACCATGTTGCTGTGAAGAGCAATATCCTGTCTTTTAGACGTTCTCAAAGCATGGTGGGGGTGGGGAAGCTGAGTAATAGAGCAACAGATTGGGAATCTCATGACTATTATAAACATGCGCCAGCGAATCACGGGCAGGATCCCTCCATCGTCCATGGTCCATCCTCCACTGTGGACCCAGCAGCTCTGACCAGGGGGTAGTCGTGCGTTCCCCACACTGTTGACTCCCAACACCGTCTGAGGCCTCAAGGAGCGGACGCATCCACAGCTCACCTACGCAGCGCGAGTCAGGAGCACACTCAGACGTGGACGTCGTAACACAGGTACAAGGGCAAAGGTGGAAAGTGGCTTCGACGGAAATTCAGAATGCATTCACAGATTTTAAGGAGGAGGAAGAACAGAAATCAGTATTACAGGAGGAAGGGAAGGAGAGAGGACGGACGGACGGACGGACAGACAGACTCTACTTGGTTAGTTGTGGTTGCAGGGCTAGAAAAATAGCAACTACAGAATATATTCTCAGAACCCCTAATAGCACATGTGTTCTTTGCTAACGACAACCAGGACAGCTCCTACCAGGCATTCTTCCCGTCGGTGTGTAGTGACGGAGCACAGGTCTACTCTCAGCGTCTTCTGTTGTAAGGCCGTTTGGGAAATGGCCACGCGGAACACATCGTGGAACAAAACCAATTCTGTGGCTGGATGGACCTTGGTTCGAAACAGACAGCTGACGTCGGTGGAAGAAGGAAGTACAGCCACCCTAAAATAGCTGCAGAGAACAAGAGTAAAGAGGATTTTGTAGGATCTTCGGTTACAGTGAACTCACAGATATGGCGTGGGATTACCTGCAAGGGTGGAGACCAAAACTGAGTGTGGAGTATGTTGCCAACCTGAAGCAGTATGGCCCTAAAGGGGCCCCGCTCGGCCACACGGAGACTACACAGGATCTCTACCACGCAATGCCCTACTTTTATTGGGTCAACTACTCAATGTTCACTAAACTTAGGTAGAGCCATTCCATTATGCGCAGGCGCAGTAATCTTAGGCTTCCATCGGAAAACGAAAGCCTCACCAGCCCGTTTTCTTCCACAAGGAATCCCTGTCCCACTTATACTAATTATTACTGAGAGTATCAGCCTATTTCGTCAACCTATGGCAGTAGGTTCTCGTTGGACAGCTTGTAAATATTAAAGCTGGTCATATGCCGATTCATCTAAATTGAGGGGCCACAGTAGTCCAATGTCAATTAGTACCAAGACAGCTCTTACCTGCTAACCTAGTAGGGAGGAAGAAAGGCTGGGCGTGGACAACTGTAGGTGTGCACCTACCCCCCACACTAACCAAAGCCAAACTCTGTGTCATCGAGTCAAAACAGGAGTAGACAGCCCCATCTTTCTCCCTCGGAGTGGCTGATGATTTCGAACTGCTGACCTTGCAATTAGCAGCCCCATGGGTAAGCCCTATGCTGACAGGGGTCCTTGCACAGCCAACTAAAACGAGTTATTTCTTCGCCTGGGAGGGCAGAACAAGCCACGCAGGCACTGGTGTGACTGCATCTAAAGAATCCCCACCCTGAAGTATTAAATGAGAGATGCTGATGATCTTCTCCCAGAAACAGAGAAGATCCTACTTGGGAAATAACAGAGTACGCGGTAACATACTGTCAAGAAAAAATAAATCCTAAACCCCACTGCCATCCTGTGGATCCAGACACAGAGGGGCCCTGTGATGGGTTTGCATAGCTGTCCATCTTTCCAAGGGCGGGCAGCCTCATCTGCCTTATGCAGAACAGCTGGTGGGTTTGAGTTACTGACCTTGTGGTTAGCAGTTCAATGCTTACCTGACAGAGCAAAGAGCTCATAAATATCATTGTCTAGCACACTGGAAGTCTCAGATATGGCAAAACGGTATTAAGAGATTCTTGAGCTTCGCAAAGTCCAGAGAAGAGCTATAGAAAATCAATAATGTCTAAGACTACTTCAGCTGAAGTACACACCATTTAAGGACACACACTTTTGGGAAATAGTATGAGTTATTCACTATGAAATTCCCGAAAGAGAACATCATTAAATCTTCCTCACCTTCTGTTCCAGGCTTGTTTAACTGAGATGCTAAAAGGGCCCTTTCTCCAATGATAGAAACACTAAGTCCAAATGCAGAATTGAGAAGCACCATAGTATTTCTGTATTTTATGTCAACATCCACTACAGAGACTTGGCTTTCAAAATCTAGTGGACCTCAGGCCACTGCTGTTGATTTAAGAGCCTTGCTAGGGCAGAGCTCACTCTCGCTGTGAGGCTGTAGATTCAATGATAGGAAATTTTATACACAGGCACATCTATATATATAATATGTAAAACAATAAAGGAGATGTACATTAAAGAATATTCTAAAATTGATTGTGATGATTGTACAACTCTTCTTGATATGACTGAAATATTGAATTGTGTGACATGTGGATTAAGTGCCAATGAAACTGTTTAAAAAAGAGTATGTTGAAATAAAAGGTCATTGAAAAGATGGGGGGAGGGGGAAACAAAACCACTGTGAGAACAGATTCTGATATGTTCTTGAACACAGAAACTAAAGAAAGGGGAAGAAATCATCAAGCACAAGAGCTCATCAGAAGGGTTCCAAAGGCAGTTAAAAACAAATTCAAACCTTGAGTTGCAGGTTGCAAGATGGTGGCGTAGAGGGTTACGAGTTGCATTGCTAACGATGAGGTTACCAGTTTGAACCCACCTGGGCCTCCAGGTGAGAAAGAAGAAGCTTTCTGCTCCTATGAAAATCTACAGCCTCAGCAACCCACAGAGTCCGCTCTACTTCTCTGTCCAAACGGGTTGCTGTGAGCCGGGACCGACTCAAAGGCAGAGTTTGTGGCAACGTACTGAACGCCGCAGGAAACATGCAGAGAAGATGACGGTGAGAGAGAGCCGCAGTATCCCAAAAAGAAAGTCACTGCACGACCACTTTAGGAGAGAGCCTGTGATTAAGAACCAATGCTGCTGAAGGAAGGTGTCGGAAGACTGGGCCCCACACCAAGGCTCCGGGAAAGGAAGAGGAGCCATTGAGAGTCTTCAATGGCCAGACGCTGCCCTGGAGGTGCCCACTCACCGGTGAGCTCCAGAAACTCACAAGACGGCTAACCAATCAGGCAGCTGGAAGAGCTCTATATGTATGACCAGTCCACATAAAAGTGGCTCGAGGCCCTATCAGAATCATCGAACAGCATCATTAATATTACACGGAAGCAACACTTTGCTGAAGATCATTAAAAACCAGTGGCTACAGGGCATCAAAAAGGAGCTGCCATCGATTCAAGCCAGACTCGGGGGAGCGCGTGGAACAAGGGCTATCCCTGCTGACGTCAGCTGGATCCTGGCGGAAAACAGAGAATAGTAGAAAGAGGGTCCGCTGTGTCCGAATGATTACGCCAAGTCCTTAGCCTCTGTGCAGATCATAAGGAATCACGTGTACTGTTGCAAAGAACGGGAATTCCAGTACCATTGATCCTGCTCTGAAGGAGAACCAGTACACCGGCCAAGAGGCAGCCATTTGAACCAAACCAAGGGCTGGTATTTGGCTTACGATCAAGAAAGCTGTGTGTCAGGATGGCATCCTCGCACCACCCTTAGTCACCCTGTGTGCGGAGTGGATCATGTGAGGGCTGGGCGGTCTGACGAACGTGGCATCCGGGCAGGAGACACAAAGCACCTGTGGAGCGTCTCTGCTTTCAACCTTGCTGGCTGAAAGCAGGGAGACGGGAAGCACTTGCTGAGCAAGATGCAAAGTCTGCAGCCTTCAGGACGGATTGTGGTTCAATGTAAAGAGAAGAAGAAACCTCACAGTTGGACCAGGACGCAGCATCATGATCAACCCGGAAATACTGACGTGGTCAAGGGAACCGTCTCACGTGGATGCGCAGTCAACGTTCACGGGAGCTCGGTCAAGAAATCAAGTGCTATGTGGCATGAGCGACCCTCCTGCAAAGCACCTCCTTCAAGGGCCCCCAACAAGATGCCACGTTGAGGACTGAGGTGAGCCTGCCCCGAGGTCCGGGTTTTCTAATCACCCCTGTGAATTCGCAAGCTGGACCAAGAAACAGGAAGACTGAGCAGGCAGTGCTGGCTGGGATGATGGTGGCGGCCAAGGGTGCCGAGTCTGCCCCGGGCTGCCAGAAACGCAGACACGTCTGACCTGGGCCCGTACAGGCACGGCCGCGTTTTCACAGCACCTCACCGAAGCCGTGCCCTCTACCAAGTGAGGGCCCGAGGTGACGTCCAGGTCCAACAAGTCTCTCAGAGCCATGTTTCCCACCGCGTGTGGCCGCTGCCTGTCTCCTGTGTCGCATTTTGGTAATTCTCACAATATTCCAAACCTTGTCATGCTACCACTACATAGTTAGTAGACTGCGGTGCAATGTGGGCGCAGCTTTTACATGCGCTGGGAGATAAAAGCTCTGGGCCACTCACGGAGTGGGTCTGTTTTCTCGTGGTGGTCCGGAACTAAACCCACACGACCTTTGCGGCATGCCCGTGTTGCCAAAATGCACCTCTGGACTTGTTATCACAAGGAAATGACAGCCTTCTCATGTACACATTGGTACAATCCCTCGAAGACAACAAGAGGAACAATTCCCTGTGTTTGAGTAACCGGGCCCTAACCCCTCTCAACACCCCTCCACCCTGAGCAAATCAACACGCAAACATGCCCGCGATGCTGAGTCAGTGCTGACCCGGAGCAGCCCTGCGGAGGCTGTTCCAGGGCAGTCAGCCTTGACGGGAGCAAGCGGTCTCAACCACCAACCCACTTACCCGAGGGGACCACCCGGGCCCCAGCACAGCACAAGGCGGAACTTCTAGTTGAAAGAGACACAAGCCTTGGTTCCCCCCTTTTAAATCATCTATCCATTGGCTTCCGGACCCAAATCCCACGAGCTCCCCTCCACCGCCCAGCCCTCCCCACTCTCTTCAGCTCTCTCTCACGGTCGGCCCTGCGGTGCCTTCTCCGGAGGTTGGTGTTGATGAACGGACTGCTGGACCGCTGTGCGACGTTAATGTTCAGTGGAAAGACTTCAGAGGCTCTGCGTGCTGGGCACCGCGTCTTACTTACACTTTCAAAGTCTGAGGTATCGAGAAGGCATGGAGATTCCGGAGTTGTGCGACCATCACCATGAAACTGGAGCTGGCCGCGTCGTGTCTGTCACAGGAGAAGCGGAATGAGGCCAGGAATGACCACGGTTGGCCTGATATCACCACCCAGTGTCCTAGAACATGTACCCACTCTCCCGGCCCCAGCCCCATCCCCTAGGCAGCTCCCTTTTACCTTAGTCCGATCTGCACCTGGGCAGTCTCCACAATGGCAGTGTCTGCTTCACCAAACGCAATGTCTTCGATTTCACTCGGCCTAGGGCCAGGGAGGAGGGGTACAGATTACCAACAGGGCCGTGGACTGCTGGGGTTACTATCTGCCACTCATGCCCGGGGAGGAAAACCTGAATTCACAGCACATCTGTGCCACCTGCCAGCATTCTCAGAGGGGTCTGCCTCTGAGCTGTCTGGTGCTCCGAGCCTCCCATGATCGCTGGGAGATGGTCCGGGTTTGCAGAAATACACACGAGGAGTTTTATGCCCCACACAGGCCTGGCCAACCACACCAACGTGGCCATCCAATGCAAGCTCTAAGTCTGAAACCCAGGCCCCTGGATATCCCATCTCCCTGGCCAGTGGGAGGTGTTCGGTAGACTGACGTTTCTGGCCACACTGTTTCTTTGAAGGACAAATCCCTTACTGCTAGAGAGTGTGGGCCATACATTCGTAGTAGGTGAGCCTCGGCTGCGGTAGGAGGAGGTGTGTGTGGCACAGCCGGGGAGCCCTTACTGTTTCACGGATGCTTCATAGACGCCACTGTCTCCAGCCACAGACTCATCGGACACGGCGGCAGACACGCAGGCCGTTTTCTCCCCAAGCAAGTGGTTTGCTCTTCTTCTCGGTACAGTTTTCTCCACATCTACGGAGGGAACGGGACGTTACCAGTCAGCATTTCTTACTCGGAGGGAGTCAAGTATGAAATATACACATGTTTTGGTCATGGGAAATCCAAAATAGCTCCCGGCGTCATGAGAAAATGATAGTGGCATGCTGCTTGGTAAAGCAGAGGGGCGCAGAAGAGGAGGAATCCCCTCAACAACATGGGCTGACGCCGCCCGGGTCTGCAGGTGGCCTTTGCTTCTGTCATGCACAGACACGGTCACTTTGAGTCAGAAGCATCTATCAAACTGCCCAAACCCAACAGATGGGGGCAAGTCACCGCACCGGGACGTTGTGGGTCACCACACCATGGTCCGCAACTCACAAGGATGAGAGTTTCAGCACCGAGAAAGAATTCTCATTGCCCTGGTCCTGAAATATTTTGGGGGGAAGGAGTCAATCACACAAAAATGTCACTGACCCTTTGCTTCTCTCTTCTAAGCATTCACTGAAGTGACCAGCACCGGGCGTCTGGGCGGGGTCAATGGTTAACAAGCCCAGCGGCTAACTGCAAAGTTGTAGGTCCGAGCCCACCCAGGAGGGCCTTGAATAAAAGGCCTGGGGGTCCAGTTCTCCAAACCAGTCCTTGATGACCCTGAGAAGCAGGGTCAGCTGACACACTTGGAGTCCCATGAGCTGGAGGTGACGTGTAGCTAACCGTACATTTGGAGGTTAGGTAACCACCTTGAGTATTAGAAATGCTTCCATGAGCTTCCAGGTACACAAACTAGCAAACGCAAACTAGAGCTTTCCAGCTAAGATAGCTTTCACCTCTCTTCCCCTGCCCTTCCCTCCTCTCCCCTCCCCTCCCCACCTACAGGGCTGGGCATAACTGCCCCTGTGCGTTTCTGAGACTGTAACTCTTTACGGGAGTGGGAAGCCCAGTCTTTCTTCCATGGAGCAAAGATGGCTTTAAACTGCTGACCTGGCGGTTAGTGGCCCCACGTGTAACCACCCACTACACCACAGGGCTGGCGTGGACTCCACAGGAGTCTGGCTTTGTGAGGGTTCCCCTCCACATACCACAGCCTAGTCTCTGAGCTGCTGCTGCTTCAGTAGGTGCTAAAGGGGGGACCTATTTACATCCCTTTGACTTGCAGGAATCCTTGCAAGCTAACAACTAAATGCCATTGGCAGATAAACCAAACAAGCCACTTTTGTGTTACCGAGTCCTTAGCACCAGCCACACACGGGCTTTCTTGTGCAACTGCGCCCTCCACCTGAGCTGGAGCCTTTCCTCCAGGGGCCAGCAAGCCAGCTGTGCTGGGAGGCTACTGGCCCCCTTCTGAGTCAGACTTTGTATCTGCTAAGATGACAGACAGTTAAGTGTCATGACTGCAGATGACGGGGCTGATGGCCGCTGGCCCCTTCTTTCTGGCGGAGAGGAGGCTCCCTCCAGGATGATGAAGTGCCCTCTGTGCCCTGCCTGCTTTGTGAGGGGTGCAGGTGAGGACGTGACTCATTGATTACACACACACCGCCCGCCGGAATAACCACGGCCATCTGGAATTGACTTTGGCAGTGACAGTGGCTGGCTGTGGAAAGCCTGCGACATCATTCCTCCTGGGCTCTGCTCTGCCGTCCAGCCGGGATCGGCGCTACAGAGCGGAGGTCGTACCAAAGGAGCCCGGCCTGTCCGAGGCTCTCGAGCACTGGGGGTTGAGGATCGGGGCCGCTGGCTGGGAAGCTCTGGGCTCTGGGTGAAGACGAGCCACCCTGGGGAGGTGACTGTCGCTGTCTTCACACACGAATCAGGGCTCTATCCAAACAGAGTCTGGGGTGGACCTTTCTTAGCGTGGCTCTTTGACAGCAACAGCTAACAGGCTGTGTGTGCTCAAACAATTAACCACTACTGCATGGCAGCGTCTCAGAGGACAGGACGGATATGGCAGCGGCCCCAACAAAGCCCACCCTCTGTTCGTCAGGACACCAGGCTGCACCTACCACCTGGGCTGCTCCCTCCCTGGCCCAGCCCTTCTCTCCAATGCCTGACCTCGCTTCCTGGTCCCCCCTCCGAGGGGAATGGTCACTAGATCACATCCCCAAACCTCCAAAACTCTCCTGCCACGGAGACAGTGCCGACTCACAGCGACCCTGTAGGACAGACAGGGTAGAACTACACCCCCTGGGTTTCTGAGACTCTTAACTCCTCCCGGGAGTAGAAAGCCCCATCTCTCTCCCTCACAGCTGCCGGTGGCTTCGGACTGCTTACCTTGCAGGTAGCAGCAGCCCAATGGGTAACCACTGCGCCCCCGGGGTTGCTCACTGCAAGTACAGGGCGCACAAAACCAGCTCAGTGCCAAACAGAACCCCCGTGTCCAGACACAGAAACACCCCCTGCTTTCCCCTGCTCCTCCTTTCCGGGATCTCGCTCTAGCCTGTGAGGAGAAGTGCATTCGGCAGAGCTGTGGGTCCAGCTGTCCTGATAATAAGAGGGCAGCCTTGGAAAGCTCGGGGGTGGCGGGGATACCACTGTCCTTTCCATTTGGTGTTCCACAGACCTTCTGAAGCCACCTTGTGCAAGCACAGCAGCAGCAGCAGCAGGGACGCAAAGGGCTGTCACCGTGGATGCCCACACCTGTGCCCCAGCAGCGGGGGTTCTGTGGGGTCTGTGGCGCCCTGTGAGTTGGGAGCAAGCCGCTTCTGGGTGGACTTGAAGCTCCAACTTTCCGGTTAGCTGTTGGGTGCGTGACCATGTGCACTGATGAGGGGAGGTGCTGAGAGCCCGCCACTGGGAGGAGTCGCCTCACGCACGTGTTAGCTCCGGGAGTCACCCTCCGGTGAGCCCACAGGGCTGACCCAGGCTGAGATGGTGAGCAGCCAGCCTTGAGAGATGGCTCACCAGCGCCCAGGCAGCGTACACAGGCGGTGCCTACGCAGCCTCTTCCTCCAGGGGGTGGCCTGCTTCTGGCGTTGAGAGCCCTGTGCAAATGCCAGTCCCACTGCTTTTCCATGAGGCAGATTTTTCCCGAGTAGCGCCAGTGGCACTGTTGGTCTGGCTGGCTCCTCTCCAGACGGGAGCAGAGCACACAGATCCCCCGTGCTCCCAACTGCTGCCCTGGGCCATCAGGACCAGGGGGAGATTAGTCATCATACCATTTTAAACATGGGGGAAAGCTGGGTTCATGTGTCTTTCAACATGCGCGCTGACCAGTCAACGAATGCAGTCCCTAAGAGCATCAGTGGGGAATAGATACACTTGTTGAAGACAGCAACAACAACAACAACAACAACAACAACAAAAAGACTGTCACAGGCCCAGAGTCTTCCACATAGAAGAACACCCAGCTACCCCACAGACTGGACTGGAAAACACCCCTAAAGGCCAACAAGCGATCCTTGAACTAACTACAAGCTTTTCTTTCTTGTTGTGTTTTGTTTTGTTCTTTTTTTGTTATTGGTTTATTGTATATGTTGCTTGGTTTTGCTCTGGCTTGTTTTTGTGCATGTTATTATCTCCGCAGGTCTGTCTAAATAAGATAGGCTGGATGAACAATCTGGAGGAGAAAACAACGG